CAAAAGTGCCTCAGCCGCGGGCAGCCGCAGTGCTTCCCAATTACTATTTGCCAGCGTATAAGACGACCCGGCATATAAGACGACCCCCCCAATTGGAGGCATGTTTTTCAGGGCAAAAAAGTCGTCTTATACGCCGGCAAATACGGTAGCTTTTGTGCTGGACATCAACTTTTTGCTTTTTAATTTTATTCTGAATCAGACACAAGCTCTTACACTTTTTAGGAAACCGATATAATCAAATCTGAAGATGCATACCAGAATTATACCAGTCAATATTTCAAGTAGATAACAAAAGCTGAAGTCTTACACTCAATTTCCTACTTATCTCCAATTGTATACTCCTATTTAAATCGGATGCCCACAAATAAGTATAGGGGCATTTAAGAACATTACTCCCAGGCACAAAGAACTGTTTTCTGTTGCTTTGTATCAACCTTGTACGTATACTTTAGTTTCATGACCTGTAGTGTGAATAAGACAAGATCAATAGAATTAACTAGATAGTAGGGCAATTATGAATGTTCTATGGTTGAATGGCTTAATATTCATATATTTCAACTATTTCAGGTAGAACAGAGCCCCTGAATTATATTACTTAAATCTTGGACTAATTTCACAATGCAATACCATTCTCCCTCCCCACAAGTGTAGTGGAAATGAGGACATGTACCAGAGGCTAACAGGTATCTCAAGAATCCCAGTTTCATTCCTTTTAAGTGACAATGAACATGCAGGGTTGAGATGAACTGTAATTTTATAAGGTCATCCAAAGCAACTCTAGGATAATCTTTCTTATATAAGGTGTTGTTCATTGATCACCATCTCTGTACATTGATACTATGGCCCCTTGACATTACCCACCAAAGAAAACTGGTCATCGATAAAAATTGTGTCCCCTGACCTCAAATTGGTGTATGAATAAATTACATGAGAGAAGAGCAGTGATTAAAAACCTAGGTCTAAAGAAGTTTATAAAACTCCACCCTAGATTAACTTCCAAATTTTAAAAGCAATGAAAAAGAAGACGTATGATTTTTAACCATTGTGTGATTTCAACATAAAATGATAACTTTAATAATCAGATGGAACTGTTCTTAAAGTCATTTTAATGATTAATGAAAAAAGTCAAAAAAGAAGGTAATGATTTTAATAAATGGCAGAACAATCTAATAGACACAGAAACTATGATAAATGAGCAATCACGTCTTATTCCCTGCTATTCTTAATGGGAAATTGGAGGTTTCTTTTCCTTTTTTATAAGACACATTTTACTTTCATTCATCCCAATGGGAAGGAAGGATTGATGATCTGTCAGCTCATGGGCCATTTTTTTTTTTGGCCTCTCCCATTGAAGGAGTATATCAAGGAATGAGAAAGCTTTGGAGGAGGGGATATAAGAGAATAGAGGTTTGCAGTAGATTAATTTACAAAAGGTAGAAGTCACTGTTACCAAATAGGTAAATAGTATCAAACTTTAGTTCTAAATCACATTGTTCATTCAAGTGAAAATCATAAAAACCAAAGCTGTCTTAAGAACCCAAGGAACCTAAGAGTCCATTTCTCCTTATCCTTTAAGATAGGACATTTTGAAATCCAAAATACATTTAAAACTGGCAAATTCATGTAGATTTGAATTTTAGACTTCATTTTTTTATTCTTTTATTTTTTTTAAAGCAGCTGTTTGATATAATTCTCATTTAAATTCAGGTTGCATATATATACCATGGTTCACACATTCATGATTTCATGATTTCTAAGCGAATATAGTCAGCAGTTGCTCTATTGTTACACGCTGCTGAAATAATAAACTCAGTTTATTGGTTTAAGGTCAACATCATCATTACGTTGGGTAACTAGGATTAAGAGTCCTGAATGGTCCAATAGACCTGCTTTGAAATGGTATTCACCTGAGTGTACCAGCTTCCCCTTGTAGGAAACAAGAATCAGTCATGAGTCTCTTCTTATAGTGGTCAATTTAATGTAAAGATGTAGCATAACTTTTTAGAGAATTATGGAAAGAGGCTTTGGGATTTAGTAAACATAGCTCTATAGCTAAAATGGCTGGTATTGCACCCTAATAATTATAATTGGAAGAAAACCTTATCAGCCTTAGCAAAATTTCCATTTTGTGGGTTTAACTCCCTGTTGAAGAGAGCATAAAGGTGATCAGGCTTGCACTGTTCTGCTTAATTTACAGACTATAAACATAACACTAAGCATTTTCTTTGTTTTACAGAGTACAAGGCACTGGTTACTTGATATCACTGCAGTAGGTTTGTTCCAGTCTATTGCTGCTTACTGTGAGCACAATGGGCGTTGTAATAATAGAAGCCAAGTACTGACATTTTAAAGATTTAATCTAGTCAGCACAATATGATGTGTAATATAATCTCTCTTAGTTCCTTAAGAAGACTTTCGTTCCTTAAGAAGACTTTAGAAAGATGTAAGATCAAGTTCAGATTTAATTTGCATCAACACAAGAATCAGATCTTAAAATCTATGGTTAAATTTATTTGTGTGAAAGTGGAGGAAAAAGTTTTTTATACCTTTTAGTGTTTGTATTTGGATGAGTGAAGAAAATAAACAGAGTGAAGCAAAGAACCAAGGACTCCAGTTTTCACATAAATATAATCTCTGTTACTAAACAGAGAATACAGATTAATCGGTGTTTTCAAACAGGTGAACAATTTGCATTAATCATTTTTCTTTACAAAACTATGTTGCCAACTATTTTTACTTTTTATTTTTAGCATTATTCTTCAGTAACAGGTTTATTTTACTGTAAGTTTATATTGTGTAAAGAAGCTTTCCCAAAGAATAGGGATATTTACCACACTCAAATATGTTTGGCTTTACTTGGTTTTAGTGATATTAAATAATGCATTCCTTTGGAAAAACTATTTAATTTCAATGCAAACATACTTGGGTCTTTGAAAAGTCCTAATTATATGATACTAAATATCACATTTCTTCCAAAATGGCTATGTTTGCATAACAAGTTTAGCTTGGTTATTGAATTAACCCAATTCCTAGGCTTGTATAATGTACTGGATCTTAATGAATCAAGCTGGATTCACTTAACATTCCAAGCAAAAGGAACCAAGGAAAAAGAAAAAAAAGAACTAAGGTTTAAGCATATAGCACAAATACAGCTGCTAGGCATTCAATTAACTTTTGGTTTAGCTGGTTAAGGATGTCATGTGAATGAAACTTTACCAACCATACTGATTTAGCTTCTTGAGAAAGGCAGAGCCAATGTTAGCTTTTCTTTTTTGTGGTCTTCCCAAATATGGCAGAGAAATGGAGAAAAATACAAGGAGGCCTTCAATGGCAATGAAGGGATGGGCCAGGGGCTTTCTGAAGCTCCAGAGACCAGTGACTCCCTATCTGCCTTCTGGCATCATCTCTTTGAAATGTATGCACTGCTTGATGGCTATGCAACCTTGTTCTCTGCCCACATTTTCTTCCCACTCCTTGGGCACACTTTCTTACCAGTTTCTGAGTCAATCCAGGTGGAGCCCATTCATATGTAACAGTGTCAAAAGTTGGATCTTTCCGAGATACTATAGGATTAGTGATAATCATGCGGTTCCGTTTATAGATGCGGATTCCATCGCCTCCTTTTACCCGAGCAGTGAGCGAAGAATATTTTGAATCAGCAAGCAAGCGGCCAATTTTCCGATCATCTTCTGCATCAGAGCTCAGGCTGTGATCTTCCTGGCTGCATTTGCATGACTTGCATATTTTCCTGTGAGAGACAAATGAGGTCATATTTTGATATAAGTTTGGGCCCTCAGAGGTATGTGCTCTTTTGGTGGCTCAAGGGTGAACCTTAGAATAAACAGCCAAGGTTATAAATCAAAATGGATTATGACATAGAACAAAAGATCTTTTTGGTTAAATGCTATCCAGAGAGAAAAATCTGTAACGAGGATTAACAGAATTTGCAATGGTGTAGAACATAAGACTATAAAAAGCCACACTGTCAAAACCCTGGGAAAAAAGCCTTCAATGACTGAAGCTCTGAGATTTTCACAACGAAAAACGTTCAAATGATTAAACTTCAATATCTGTATTAATCACTCAGTGGCACACAGGCAATATGGAAATGCAGAATTTTGTAGCAGTCTAATTAAACAAAATGGGGGAGTTTCTTGTTCTGATTCCAATTATAAAAACAGATTGGTATAAATGGGCCCTTTTTGTAGTCTTAATGCCTACACCTTTGCACCAGCTGGGGAATTCTGGGAGTTGAAGTTCACACATCTTAAAATTGCTAAAGTTGATAAACGTTGGCCTACACAGAAGCCCATGCTTCCAGCTAACATTGATAAAGACAAATGGGGCTTAAATGGAGTGTCCACATAGTGAATATTCCAGTATTAAAATGCTGAAATGAAACTATAGGCTCTTAGGAATATATATATATATATATAAACGAATATTTGTTCCAACTAGATTTGCCAAACTTCAATCCTGAATGAGTGCTAGTATTACAAAAGAAGTGCAAGGACTTCTTGATTTATTTATTTCTGTTTTGTGCATTTCCAAAGTACATTGAGTCGAGGTGATTACATTTCACTTATGAGGTAAAAATAGTATACAGTGATTTTTGGGAAAACACTGTTGAGCACGAAGAAATCATTTCAGTGTCATTTCATGAATTCCATTGTACAAATCAGTTCCTCATCCTAAATGGAAATGTGTCAGGGCTACAACAAATCCCCCTCAATTCAAAGCAAAAGTCTCTACCTAGAGTATCTTTTTAGTTGACAAAATGTGAGAAATAACAAAGGGATAGAATTATATTCATCATAAAGCAACAGGATATGTATTATTGTTTTCTGCAGCTGCCACAGTAAGGCACTATTCATAGTCCCTAAAATTGGCTGCAAAGGATTGCCCAAGTAGTAGGATAAGGCTATTTCAGGATGTTTTGGCTTTGAAAAATACCTGGCAAAAATGTATTCACTCAAGTTGTCAGAGTTTATATTTTTCAACTATATGAGCAACAGGTTAATGTCAAACTCTAAATAAAGCCAAAGAAAAGGGCTTGATGCTGATTTATATTCTAAAATAGGGAAGGTCACTCTGGGCCATAGCTAAAAATTTGGAGGCAAAACACAGTAATTCAGCATTGATTTTTTTCATTGAGAGAAATATAATATGTATACTGAGCCTCTGCTAGGTTCATCACAAGTTATTTCATTAACTACCCACCCCCAAATTAAATTTCATCTTTACATTTCACAGCCATACCCTCTGCAGTTCTCAGAAATCAGTTATTTTTATTTTAATATAGTCAGCAGCTGCAAAAGATTGCCTGTATCAAAGCTCAAACTTCAAAGAAAATGTCGAACAAATCTTGACCAAACTAGTCCTGGTAAGAAACAGATATACAGCCAAACAATACAGAATATTGTACAATGTGGAAAATAGTTTGTGATGCAACAAATGGGATGCCTACCTAGGAATGAGAAAAGCAAGAAGTATTAATTAAAACATAAGCCTAATTTAACTTATTTAGGCCAAGCCCCAACTCTTGAATTCTTCATGTTTTTTTACTCCCTGAATAATTAAATCTACTGCTTTCAACCTGAATTTTTAGTGTCAGAGATGGCTAATGCTTCATAAAGAAGCAATGTGATGTCTTTGATTCTAAAAGAATCAAGAGTTCATTAATACTTTATTTCAATTTCAGATTACATGAGCAATTATTATCATCAAATATTTTATTAATTCTTTCTGTAAATAGGGGAATGACACCTCAGCTGTAAATAGATCTTTTATCTATTTATATAACAATACAGACAAGGCTAATTTGAGAACCTCCATATTAAATATTTTATAGCAAGGGACAGCATCTGACGTTGAAAAAGCACTACGCAACCTAAAACCATCTCTATCTATTGGACCGGATGGAATATGTGCCTACTTCTTAAGAAAACTATCCGCTGCCATAGCCAAACCTCTAAGCATAATCTTTGAAAGATCTTTCAGAACCAGCTCCTTGCCCAACCTATGGTTACAAGCCACAGTCATTCCCATCTTCAAAAAGGGAGACCCAAGCCTAGTTGAAAATTACAGACCAATCTCCTTATGCTGCGTCACCTGTAAAGTCATGGAATCAATTATTAACCAATCCATCATCCTCCATTTAGAGACAAACAACCTACTCTCCAATAAACAATTTGGTTTCAGAAAAAAACTATCCTGTAATCTGCAACTCTTACACTGCAAAAACATATGGACTACTCAACTCGACCAGGGCAAAGCAATAGACGCAATCTACATAGACTTCTGCAAAGCCTTTGATTCAGTGGTACACGACAAACTACTCCTAAAAATAAAATCTTATGGTATCTCTGGACAACTGAATAACTGGATAGAAGCATTCCTGTCAAACAGACAACAAATGGTCAAAATTGGGAACGCCCTATCAAATCCAGTACCTGTCAATAGTGGTGTTCCCCAAGGCAGTGTTCTAGGACCAACTCTCTTCATAATCTACATAAACGACCTTTGTGATCATATCAAGAGCAATTGCGTTCTCTTCGCTGATGATGTAAAGCTGTTCAATACCACAGACAATACTACTACCCTTCAAAAAGATCTAGACTATGTATCTGAATGGTCTAACATATGGCAACTCCAAATCTCAACAAATAAATGCTCTGTCTTACATATTGGTAAAAAAAATCAGAAAATAAAATACAAGCTGAATAGTCAAGATCTTGTTGATGACCCAAGCTCTGTAAAGGACCTGGGAATACTCACCTCTAATGATCTAAGTGCTAGAGCTCACTGCAACTACATAGCCAAAAAGGCATTAAGAGTTGTTAACCTAATCCTACGTTGCTTTTTCTCTGGTAATATCTCACTACTAACCAGAGCATACAAAACATTTGCTAGACCAATACTCGAATACAGTTCATCAGTCTGGAATCCTTATCACGTATGTGATATTAACACAATTGAGAAAGTCCAGAAGTATTTCACAAGAAGAGTTCTCCACTCTTCTACCCGTTATAGAATACCTTACGCCACCAGACTCGAAATTCTAAAACTAGAAAACCTCGAATTACGCCGTCTTCGGTCCGACTTAAGCATGGTATATAAAATCATACATTGCAATGTCCTACCTGTCAATGAATACTTCAGCTTTAACCATAACAACACAAGAGCACACAAGGAGATACAAACTCAAAGTAAACCGCACCAAACTTGATTGCAGGAAATACGACTTCAGCAATAGAGTGGTCAATGTCTGGAATACTCTACCCGACTCTGTAGTCTCTTCCCCAAACCCCAAAAACTTTAACCTTAGACTGTCTACTATTGACCTCACCCCCTTCCTAAGAGGTCTGTAGGGGGCGTGCATAAGCGCACCAACGTGCCTACCGTCCCTGTCCTATTGTTTCTCTTATTCTTTTATTTTTCTTATATGTACCCATTTCATATATTCACAACTATGTATACACTTGTACTTATTATCTTGTAAACAATTGACAAATCAAATAAAAATAAATAAATAAATAAATAAATGATTTCTATCTGAATTTGGAAGCTAAATAGATTGACTGAGATAATTCTGGGAACTGAAATTTACACATCTCATAGATCTACACAAAAGTTGCTGAAATTGAGAAATACTTATCCAGAGAATATTTAATTTGCTAATTTGACTTATATACTGCTAAATCAGCTTGTGCTCCCAGATGTTTACAATTGTGAACAACTACGGATGCTATCAATAACCCTACAGCAGAAATAAAAATAAGGGAGGAAGAAACACTTAGCATAACAGCAACAATGTTTCTCAAAGACCTAACAGAAGACTTTAGTCTTCTGAAAATCACCAATGATGGTGATGAACTAATTTTAGGAGAGAAACTTCTTCATAGGTGATGGCCACCATAGAAAATCATCACCTGTGGGCACTATTCCACTAAACTTGAATAAAATATGTATTTGAAGTACATTCCAGAGAGGACATGAGTTGATTTTATGTGCAAAAGATATCCCTGGAATTAGGCTAGACTGAAATAATCTGGTTTTCCCCTCTAATTTTTGAGGTCCAGAAGAAATAGAAACTTATTTTGTTTAGCCTGCTGTGTGAACCCCACCACTGTTTCACAGGAACTTAGGACAATTACAGCATACTTGATAAATTATAATTAAAAAAATTCATAACTTAGCAGAATGTATTAACCCCCAAAATATAAGTGATAACAGTTTCCTGGTTGTGTTAGTGATTGCTGTATTTCCTTAACTGCTGGTGTATTTTTATTTGTTGGATTTTAGTTCTTGTTTTCTCTTCTATGGCTCTCCAGGAAAGTTAGTTGTAGACCACAGAACTACACCATCCCCCCCCCCAAATAGTTAAGCTATTACTTTAAAGAGATATTGTATCTGAAGTCTTTAGCAGAGTTGTTTGCAACTCTAATTAGTATATATATCATAAAGATCATTGAACATCCAGTTACCTTGTAGCAAGATGGGTGGCCAATAAATTAGACAGATAGACACACAGACAGACAAAATCCTTTTAGAAAGAAGGATTGATTCTGGGTGCTGAACATTATGTTCTACTCTGAGCTATGATTACCGTATTTGCCGGCGTATAAGATGACTTTTTTGCCCTAAAAAACATGCCTCCAAGTGGGGGGGTCGTCTTATACGCCGGTAAATACATTGTCACTCGGTGCAAGAGCGACGGGGGCGGAGCTCCGCAACTTGCGAAGCCCC